ACAGGTTGCCCACAGAGGTGGTGGAGTTGTCTTTCTGGAGCTATTTAAAAGCAACCTGGCGCCGATGCTGTGCAAGGCGCTGTAGGTGTCCCTGCTTGTGTGGAGGGCTGGAATAGCTGAACTCGAGAGGTCCCTTCCTACCCCAACCTTTCTGTGATCCTCCAAACTCAGATCCCACTCTTTCATATTCTGTAAAATGGGGACTGCCATATCCATCTTATTAGGTTTGCGGCTACTGCTTTTTTGATAGTGTCGTCATATACCAAATTAGATAATTAATTGCCCCTGCCCTCCCCCTTTTCACATTGTCCTAGCACCTTTAAATTCCTCACATCTCCCTCCTGGCAACCTCCCCCTTCTCCTTGCTGGGTAGACTCCRAAGTGTGATGGAAATCACTGCTTGGGATACACAGGGATCACAGACGTCTGTGTTTGTCTCCAAGTGACATCAGAGAGTATAAGAATAGATCTGCTTCAAAAGCCTTTGCAAACAACTATTTACTTGTTTTCTGTACCTTTGAGTTCAGTTTCTTAGCCTCTTAGAGCCTACTGGGGATCTAGAAGTAATAACTTAAGAATAACTTTTAATATCTTTTTTTGTCTTATGTATTTTTTTGGTAATTAAAACTTTTTGACACAGTGGGACACTTTAGTAAAATAGTTTGGATCTATATGAATAAATTTAATAATTTTGACTAGGCTGATTACTCTCTTCCTGTATCTTCTTTTTTTTTATTTATTTTATTTTATTTTTTTATTTTAACACTAAAATGTCAGGGTCTCCTTCCACAAATAAGTAATGGAGTTAGGACTCCGGTCTCTACAGGGTTACTGCATGGAAGCAAAGTGTTTTCTGTGTCATTTCTGTCAACTCCTTCCCCTCCCACCATAAAATACAAAAAAGAAAAAAAATCTACTGAAGGGTCTCAATTGAAGAAAAGTCTCTTCCTCCCTCCAACAGCAACTTGATTAATGGATTTATTGTTTGTACAGATTTTTGTCGGGAAGCCATATGGCTGGTGGAGAACAAAGAGGAAGCGGCTGATGTTGAGAGTCAAATGTAATAGGGTCCCTAAGGACGGAATGTGGCTCTTAGGCCTTCTCCTTCCCACTCCCTTCGCAAGGGGGCTGAGAGGGGGCTGCGCGCCTCAGTGGGGCTGAGGATAATGGTGCTTTATTTGGGAGGCAGCATTGCTCCCTGCTGCTGGTCACCATCCCAGCTCCTCCATTCGCAGGTTAGAAACGAGCCCCGCTTTTCCTTCAGTGCAAAGTAGCCTGGGCTAGCTAACAAGGAAGCCTTGCTGACGTTTGCAGCAGATGAAGACTGTYCTACGTCTCGAAACAGAGCTCCAGCCATCCAGACTGAGGCGGCATTTCTTTCCTTCGCTCTCTGCCCTTCCCTCCCTGAGAGAAATTGGAGATTTAAATTAATTTTTCCAATCTGACATGTGCATGGGGAGCTTGATAAGTAACTGGGGCTCCAGAGCTCATGCTATCATGTGGCACGGCTTTGACTGTGACAGTTACTTGGTGGATGAACCTGAGAAGAGAATCAGAGGCAACGTTCTGTCATGTAACTGCAGCAACTGTGTTAAACACCTTGACCAAACTCTTCCTCCAGGGAAATTACGGCTTCTCTGCTGAGATGCATAAACCTCTTTCTGTTCATTTTGGTGCTAAAACGAAATATGTGTGAACCTTTGCTAACGGTTGGAGGGTTCACAGAGGCTGGAGAGCACAAAAAATCACTTGAGAGCCAGATTCTGATACTTCAGAATGGCTTCATTCCCACTAATCTGAGCTATTGTAGTTAATTATATTAATTGCATTTTATAGCAAGTGGTGAAGGAGTTTATTACCCAGAGGGCTGTAATAAATTAACTCATGTTATAGGCATATAGAGCTTTGAATTACCCTATCTGTGTAATACTACACTATATTTTAAAAGCATTAAAAAGGACTGTGCAACTCATGTTGTGGACCTTGCTTACCACTGTGTGCAGACGGATGCTAAAATCTCTTACTTCCTATACTTGGCTCTTGCATAAGACAAACGGATCTTCCCCAAGGCAATTCTGGCTCCTGAGTTCTGTGGCAGTGCCTGCATGAAGGAGTGCAGGCATCTGGAGGAGAAAAAATATACAAAAGATCTTAAACAGGGCCTGGACTGACTGCAGCGAGGGCAGAAGGAACAGGCACGAACCTGCATGTGTTGAGCGGGCAGAAAGCTGAGTGCAGGTAACTAAACTAAGGTGCACACCCAGCAAGTGTGTACCTCTTATAGCAGATGCCTTGAGTACGGCGAACACTTAGGGGAKGAGTGGTGTAGCTGCAAGCTACTAAGTTGGGAAAGATTTTTCCATCCCTGAATCCCCTCATCTGCACTGTCTACCACAGCAGCTGGGATCCAGGTTGCTCTAGTGAATGCGCAGCAGCCTCTTTCACTGAAAAATTTCCATCATCATCTGTCAGGAACRTCCTGTTTCTGGCCCCGTTGTTGCTACTCAGTAAAGTTATGAAGTTCTTCCTTATGCCCTGTCTATGCAAGGCAGATAAGCAAATAGCACGGCCAATTTCTTAATACATGTATCAGTCTCCTAGGGATTCCTTTAGATGGCAATTTATTCTCACTGGAACGTGGAGCTATTACTTTCCCAGCTGCTTCCAAGAAGTCTCTGTCCTTCCTGGAATCCTGCACAAGAAGATTCGTGCTGGCAAGGCATATTTTCCCGAAGTGATTAGGAGGGGACTGCAAAGCAATAGAGCTTTGACTGCTGCCCTTCCAGCTCYGCATGCAAGTTGTGGAAAGCAGTTTGGTTTAGTACAAACACCTCCACTGTGTAAAAGCTGTTGGATTTAAAGTGTCTACTGTAAGTGCAGTGCTAAACTTGAAATTTAGAAGCTCAAATTCCGTTCTTTGTCCCTGGAAAAGTATGTGCCTCCAGACTGAAAGCCAGGCTGATTGGGAGGTAAAGTTAAATGCTTAAAATTGGTGTGCTGGGGAAAGCCTGTCTGCCTTTATGCCTTCCCATCTAAAGATATYCAGTTTTTATACCCTTATCCTCAGGATCACTGGAGGCAGAGGAGGAAGTCGTTAAAATGGAAGCAGCAATAAATCAAAGTTACCAAAAATAAGCATCTACAAAGGCTGTTCATTAGCCTGTGCTAATGAGGGAGCAGTCATTCCCCTGGATGGCGGGAGGTGTGAGAGGGTAGCTCTCTGCGCAGGTCTATGACCAAGCAGGTGCTTGTGGACTCGTGTTCAAACTGAGGGAGTGTTCCACACTGCTATGTGCTTCTCTGGGTTGAATTTGTGTGCAGGGTGGGTTTGTAATTCTTTCTTTTATTCAACTCATCACAAACTTTGAGCTTTTCAGGATAAGCAGCTTATCGCATGTTGAAGCAATGCTAATTAAGTCTTTGGGTATTGGACTCTTACCCATAGCTGTTTCTGTTTCATGAGACCTGCTTTCTTTTTGTTTTCCCATCCTGTTTTTTTCTAAAAGCCTTTGGCGTTCTCACTGCTACCGTAACTCCATTTTATTAGACACCTACATTATGGTATTTATTGACTTTTGAGTTTGTAAACCACAAACGCCGTACTTGAGTTGTGTCAAAAACCCTTTGGTACTGAGCTGTGAGAGTASATCACCCCTCTGCTTGCTTTCAGCCATCCATTCACAGCAGCGATTTTCTTGAGGTTTAAAAGACAAAAATGTTCCTATCCAGATCCYAGTCTTAAATTAGATAAAAGAGGAAAACTGAGGTGATCCATCCATCCACTCTTTGGTTCTGGTTGCCCTTAATGCTTTCGTGGAATATGCAAGGTGCTTGACTCCAGCATCCGTGGAGCAAGCGTGATAAGTTAGATGTTAAACAAACACCAGTAGGAGTATGTGGAGGTTCTGCATTTAATGAATATGGCTTTATGAATGAAAGCTAAGCAGTTAAGATTGTGCTGTTGAAAACAACTTTGTATGTACCTTAATGTCTACTGCTCCTGGGAGCCCTAGGTCAAGCCTTTTGTCAGACTGGTAGACATAACTACCCGCCTAAGTGTTCAACGTACAGTGYGTGTGAGACAGTGTTTCAGAACTGGCTAGTCCCTCTTAGATCTTTAAGAGGTCTTGCTTTATGGCCCTCTCATGTCACCCTTCCACTGGAGTTGCTGCTTATTGAGTCTTTCAGTAAAGCTCTGACAGGCACTAGGAGAAAACTGGTTTGCCTTCTCAGAACTTAGCCTGACAGCAGTGGAAGAAGAGAGACCAAAAGACTAGAGGAAACTTCTCACTTCAGAGCTTTTCCTCTGCACTGCTATCAAACTGCAAATAGTAGATATGTTCCATTAGCACATCTATTATGTGTTATAATATGGGATATCCCATATTATTATGGGATTATGATATGGGATCAGGCAGCATTTGCAAGTTGGGCACAACGATGGAGCTGAGCATCATTTTAGTAAGCAGCCCATCAAATTTGGTCTCAGCTTTTAACCAGCAGTTTATGATATGTTACCCTTTGCTTATCTTTTGATTTTTCTTTACATGCAATAGACACCATTTACCATTACAAGAGAGTAGTTCTAGAGAACCTGGGGGTTTTTACATCTGGAGCCTCTCTGCTGTGAGGACTGTTTTCTTTAAAATGAAAACTATTGCACAAGCCTCTTTCCTAAACTCAAGTCTTTAGAATTTAGCAGTGATAGATGCTCGTGACTACCTAATAGCACTTAGCTTTTGGTAATATTCTGGAAGGTTTTTCAAATWGTGTCTCTGCTATTTAGTTAGAGCACAAAAATGGCACACCAGCTATAAAATGTAGCAAAATAAGATCTGTATTCCATACTTTTAGCCTTTAAGCTTGTATATGTTTGGGTGGAAACTGGATTTTCAAAACCTTTATAGGAAGGGGAGGGAATACAATTTTACCTTCACCAAGGCAGTTTTACTACTGTATATAAATGTTTCTTCTTTTCTTTTTTTTTTTTTTTTCTATAGCAACTCATCTTCTCAGCAGAGTTGGTGCTTGTACCTGAAGTAGAAGCCTGTGTCAAGCCCGCTGCATAAGCACATTCCTGTCCATCTTCACCTGCAGGTATGAAGTTGTGACAAAAGAATTTTCAAACAAGATTTTTCCTTCTCCCTCCTAGAAGTATTTGCATATACAACATGAAAAGAACTATAAAGCTTAAAAATAAATACACATTTATATATATATGTGTGTGTGTACATATATATATGTATGTATATATGTGTGTGTGTGTGTGTGTATATATATTTAAAAATAACCATCATGTGCACATATATGACTTTCCAGTGGTTTGACAGGGAGACCCAAGGCTAACTTGCTACCGGGACTGACTTGCTGTCTGTGGGACAAGGTTTTTCATTTGTTGGGCAGTTCTGTTTGTCAGCCCTCCTTGGGCATCAGCCCTGTGCTGGCCACACTAGGATGGGAAGACAGGAGTTCTTGCTGAACTGAAAGAGAACTACAGCTCCTGCTGTGGGAAAGAAACAGTTACATAATGTCATGCTTATACTGAGGACTAACTACATTTGCTGTTAGGCACGTAACATATCCAGCTCAGTTAAATATTGCTAACTAGCGCAGAGTCGTGTTGAGGATGTGCTGCATGTGCCCTTGACCCTGGGCACATTGTGCTTGAAGCCTATTGCCCCATGTTCACCCACACATCGGGTCCAGAATGTATCTTCAGGATACAATCTTTCAGGATTGTATCTTCTTTCTAATTGATTTGCCAGAAATCTCTACTCTGTGGAGTCTTTACTTCCTTTGAGGACGGGGTTGTGCTGTTTTCCTTTCAAATACTTTTTGTAAAAGTATTATGTCCATGTGTTTTGCTGCTGCTGTTTTGTTTTGTTTTTTAAGACACTGAGCAGTGCAATTGTCTTCTGTTCTTCACATGACTGCATTTAAAACATGGGGYTCGATACAAAGAGGCATCTTCAGCTGTGAAACTGGTTCTTGTCAGGAAAASATATCATAGGCTACTGTTAAGCTTCCTTGATGTATCTCCTTGGATGTTGTCGATGTTGTTAATTTTTAGKGTATTGGAGAGAATTTTGAACTTCATACTATAAAAAATACATTTTTTTTTAAGTGCTCATAGGCTACTCCACCATAGGCTGCATCCCTTTCAGGGTTTTTTTTTCTATTTTATGTATAACATACCGCTGTACTGCAAGCATACAGTATTTTGCAGGAGCATTCTGTTCATGATTCAAGAAGCTGAGGAACCAGTATGTTAAAATAGAATATAATGGTTTTTTTGGCTAATTACTGAAAAGATAGTTTCGCTAGTGTTTTAATTCTGTGCATCTAAAGTAGAGGCAGACAGAAATGTATAGCAGCAGCTTTTTTAATTGTGAAAAAACACGGAAGTGCACTGTTATTGATGTTCCTTCCAGCCCTGTAAAGGTAGGCAGTAATACAGTGTGACTGAAAGATACCTGCTTCTGTTGTCCGTGATAATATGGTGTTAGTGTTAAGCAGGAAGAAAAAGAAATATATATACACACAGCATTCCAAGAAGGCTTCGTCCCCCTTATATATGTATGTATGTCTGCATGTATTCRTAGTATGTAATTTGAAAGGTATGTGCACACACAGACAGCTTTTCTTGGAGTCTAGACTGACACTGTCTTGGAGATTTTTTGTCTGCTCATTAAAGGATTTTCAGTCTCACACTGTAATCCTGTATATGAATGAAGGGTAGTTGCACTGAATGAACCAGCAGGCAGTTTGGGAAGATACRGGGCTCTTATTTTCTTCCAGGTGGCATTCAGCCAGATCACATCTGTATGTTAACCTGTAGCTCCGGGGAACTGAGGAGGTGCTGGTATTGCACCGTRTTCTCTTTTGCCAAGGTAAAAATACTTAAGTACTTGTGACTACTACTTAAATAAATTCCTTTCAGTGGAGCAAATCCACAGCTAGATGCCAGGTAACTGGAAAAACTGGTGCTTTTTTTTTTGCCACTTTGCAATTATCCGTGCGAGTTACTCTCTCTAGAACATTTTATTGTTCGAGAAGAAAAATAAAGTGCCTGCAGAAAACTCGTCAAGGTGGTGTTTAACTCTTCCCATGTGAAGACAGATACCTGTTTGCCTTGACTTGTTCTTAATAAACTATATYTTTCCCCATAAGCATCTCTAACATAATATCACCATATGACTGCAGTTCGTGGTCTGTAATGAGGCTCAAGGCAAAGGGTCACCCACCAATGTGAGTGGTTAAAGCAGTTGTCCCCAGCTGAAATCTGGGATCATGATAGAGTTGTGTAACCAACACCTTACTAAGTGGCAGTCAACAAATAAATTTAAAATGTTAAAGATATTAAAGAATAGAAAGCAATACAAAATGTGATTATACACCTATATAAAATATGTGATTCATGCATTTTGGACACTGTTTCAGTCCTGGTTCCCCCATCCTGGAAACAACATAGTAGAACTGGAAAATGAGTAGATGGTGRAAAGGAGGATTAGAAACATGAGTGATTTGGCAAGCTAGGGCTTTGCAGCCCAGAAGAGAGAGCTTAGCGTGGAGGAATAGGAGGAAAGCCTACAGCATCACCAAGGAAATGAATGGGGCTCACTTGATTCCTGATTGCAGCACAAGAATCGGAGACGTCAGGCGAGGCTGATAGGAACCTAGCTCAGAACAAACATAAGGAGATGGTTTCTCACACTACAGGCAGTAGCYCTGTTGAGCTCCTTTCTCCAGGGAGCCATGGAGAGTAGAAGAKAAACCCAACTGAGGTTTCCCACCTGCAAGTCTCCAAGCCAAGAGCAGTGGGAGGGCGGCTGTGTGTTCTGAAGCACTTGCTGCGTTTTTGTGCTTCCCTAGGTGCCTGCTTGTGACTCCAGGTTTGTTTTTGCCAGCTAGGAATTTGCATGTCTGCCTTGTCTTCTGGTTTCATGAGGCAAGGTCTCAGCCTTTGCCACAACATCTGTTAGAGGTGTTAGTTTCTGTCCCATGTTCTTCTGAAGGGGCATTGTGCTTCCAGCTTGTGCTGTTTCTTCATGCAGTTCACACAGAACAACCCTGTGCTGTGGCTTTTTAGCAGTGGAAGCAGTTGTTTCCTCTTGAATGTTGCAGTAAATTGGTTGCAGTTGTTCTCCAACTGCTTACCAGGAGAAGTAAGCTTCTGCTAGTAAGAAGGATGTTCCTTCATCTAGGCCCTTTCTTTAAAAAAAAAAAAAAAAAATCAAATCATAAAAGTCTTAGTCACCTTCAAGGATGATTAATCTCCTTATCAGAGCTTCACAAAGATCTGCCCTGCAAAGCTGGTAGCAGGGACCTGCTTGCAGAATGACTAATCCCCTTTGGAAACAGGTTAATGGGCTGGATGAAGCCTTGGTCTTGGTCCAGCGTGCCTGCTTTATTGCTCTTCGGGTGCTATAGGTTCCCTTTCCAATGAAATTGTCTTTACAGCTTTGCAAGGAAATGGTTCAAGTCAAGATCTCCCCTGTGAACAGTAGGTGGTTTTAGACAGCCGTGCTTTCTCCATGAAACTTTTTCATTTGTAAATTAATATTTTGATCCTGTGTCTAGCTCATTTCCAGGCTTTTTTTAGTCACTTTTTTCTTCTTCTACAACCTAACCTTAAATGTGAAAAGTGGGCAAAATTGACTTGTTTCAACTTAAGACAGACATATGCATAATTCTCATTTCAGCTCTACCAGATTTCTAAACTGAAGAATAGTTGTCACCTTTTCCTTTGAGTGACACTTAAGACACTGTCACCTTGTTTGCTCCTTGTTCATTTGTGTAGTGATTCTTGACTGGGTGAGGAGCCCGCTCTTCGAGTTGGCAGCCTAGCCTTCTCAAACTGCCTTTTCCTTTTCTTTTCCATGACCAAGAGAAGTTGTGCACCTGCTGATCCACTGCACGTGCGCTCCTGCACAGAGAGGAGCTCTTATATTCCCTTGGATGCTTGAGAAGACACAGAACAGATTTTGTTGTGATATTGCTGAAGGAGCCCTCAGCCTCCACCTCTGTCTTCCAACTGAGTTTGGGGGCCCGTGTTGTGTGAAAATGTGTGAGGGCATCTGTCTCAGGCCCTCCTGAAATAAGAAATGCTTTTCCTGCTGCCTGAACTCAGACCCAGGTGTGGCCCCTTCTAGAGCCACTGCGTTATGTGAGCAGCGTGCAAATTGCATCATTTGAAGGTCCCAGCTTGTGAGCCAGGAGGAGTCACTGCAGCATAAGGAGCTCCCTTCCCCTTCCCCTTCCCCTTCCCCTTCTTCCCCTTCCCCAGTACTCTACAGAAAGATATCTGGYACAGAGCTTTTCTGCAAGTGAGAAAAGTTCTGGTTGGTGTGAGAAATAATCTCAAAGGAGAAGTGTTACCTCTCATGTTTTTCTTGCTTCTTACATGTCTCAACTTRGTGTATACCCTGTTCTCATCCTACCTTTGAGTTGAGGCAGTACAGAAAAGGAAAAACTCAGATTGTTTTGAGAATGTTCCCCTTCCAAGAGTTGAATTTTGCGTTATTCTTTGGATTACAAGAAATGCCTTTCAGCCCCCTTGTSTCACCTTTCCTTCCTTGCTGCAGGATACAATGTACCGCTTGTTCCCTCGCGAAGTGTTGCAGCTTTTTAATGACCTTGTACTTGCTCGTACTGGTGAGATAGCAGAGCTGAAGCTGAAGATACCGTGGTAGCTGCATCTGTGCTTTTTTCCCTTTTCCTCGTTTTCTTATTACTTTTAACTTCTTGCTTTCTAGTTTGGGGCCCTTTCTACTTTTCCTATGTAAATATATCTTTACATGAGTCTCAGAGACTGCGTATGCACATCTAAATGGTTTGCTTACATTTGTGGCAGGCACCTGACCTTCAAACCCTCTGAGTGCATTTGAAGCTGAACAATATGACCATTCTTCTGAGGAGATATACTGGATTGAAGATGAGTTTCTGGTAGCAGTTTTTCAGACTTGGAATTCATCATTTTCTTGTCAGTCATGGGCAAAATAGGAACAGTACGTGAGTTGAGGGAGTGTGTGTGGACCAAGGACAGAAGGATGGGTAACGAATGTGTGCACTTGTATGGGAATGCCTCTTCCATGCAG